CCCATCCCACTCATCCACAAGCTGATGAGTCCTAACGGGCCTCCTTTGCCAGCGACAAAAATAACTATTTTCAAAATTCACAGCAGGGCTTTCGCCTACACACGCTGCATCGACTGGAACCTGAAGGGAGAGCTGCGGAACGCACTGTGCGGAGTGAAGGCACGCTGTGCAGCAGGCAGGCTTTTAAACCCCCATGCCCCTCCTCCCCACCGCTCAGCCTGTGCCCACACACACACACAGGGTAGGGCGCCCAGGATGGCCAAGTAGGAAGAGCTCTTAGATGATCCATTATACACAGGGGGACACTGAGGACCAGAGAGGGCCAGGGATCTGCCTGAGGTCACACAGCTGCCCTCCCACAATTGCACAAGTCAGAGGTAGAGTCAGGATAACAATCCAGAACTCCTGACTCCCAGAACAGTGCTCCTTCCCTACCCTGCTCTGCTCTCCTGCTCTGTCCTCTTGGCACTGTCAGGCCTGCTTGCCTATGTCCCAAGGTAGCCAGTAGGCACCTGTTTATGGCAGGACTGGACTAGAACTCATCCAGTCTGCCTCCTAGCCAGGCTGCCCATCCTTCTCTCATTCATTCGGCCAGGCCAGGAGCTCACCCTAGCCCCCAGCACACACATGCACACACCCACCTGTGTGCGCAGACAGCACGGCATCCTCACTTCATGTTCCGGCATTTTAATCACGTTCACAGGCTCCTCCACAGCCATTCCCTCAGCCAGTCCTCAACAGCCCTGTGAGGTGGTCAGAGCCAGGGCTGGCATCCCCATTCGCAGATAGGGAAATAGAGAAGAGGACTGTGCCCACTGTCCAAGAACTCGGGGTCCCAATTGTTCATTCAGGGGCTCATTTCTCAGCTGTCTCAACCATTCTTGGCCCTGCAGTGCCTAACAGTTCCTCTGGGTTCTGGGGTCAGGAACAACCAGTCTGGTACCAGGACTGCCCTAGGCCACGTGGAGACCCAGCAAGGTCACCTTCCCCCTGATCCCTGCACCTCTACCCTCAGCACTCAAGGGAACCCTTCAGAGAGCCACCAGATTGCTCATTCCTCAGCTGGGATCTCTTCACATCACTCCCTCCCCAGGCCTGGAGTTGCCCCCATGTGGCCCCTCACCGGAGCAGCACCACAGAATTCAAAATTCAAAGGTGAGGACTTAAATGAGCCAGGAGGCAGTGGCTTCAGGCAGGAACTCTATCATGGCCCCGGGCACCAGGTCCACCACCATAGAGTCACAAAGACATTAGAGCTCATTTTACAGGTAAGGAAACTGAGGCCCAGGGAGCATGAACAGGCCACCCAAGGTGACAAAACATGTCAGTAGAGAGGCAGGACTGGAACCCAGGCATCCCAGTCTGGTTTATTTTCTTCCCTACCACCAAGCCAGCCGAGCTCTCCACCCTGTTCAACCGAGGGGCTCTAAGCCCTTATCTCTCTGGGCAGACCAGACTTGACCTCAAGATCCTCCCTGAGGAGAAACAGGGCCAGGCTGAAGTGGGGAAGTACATCTAGGAGGACAGAGACGCCTGCTCCCCTAATCAGATCCGATGGGACATCAGCCTGGTATTGAGTTTGCGGAAAAAGGATCGCAGCTTACAAATCTTGCATTTTTTCTTGCGGCGACCCCGGGAGAAGCCCCGAGCCCTGCCTTCCTCCTCTTCTCCCTCTTCCTCAGTGGCCCAGGGCCCCCAAGCACCCCCATTAAAGTCAGGGTGGGCCCGAGGATTCTCTGCCGGGTAGCGCACAGGGATGGCCGTGCGGTTATAGTCCACCAGGCGGGCCAACAGGGCACGGACCACGTCAGGCCGCTGGCCAGCCAGGTCCTCCCGCTCATAGGGGTCAGCAGTGATGTTGAAGAGCCACACGGCCTGGCGGGTGCTGGCCATCCGCTCCAGGTTCCACCAACTGCCAGGGAAGGCAGCCAGCGTCTGCGGTGGGATCCAGTCACCGTAGCCAGGATCTCCCGTCAGCAGCTTCCACTCACCCACGCGGATGGCGGCCTGCACGGCCGTATTCCAGATGCCAAAGCCGCCCTCCAGCGAGCCGTGCCGGGCATGGTTGTAGAGGGGATCAATGTTGTGCAGGATCTCTGTGCGTGGTGAGGCCCGGCCCTCGCTGATGGCCGGCCACACGTCATAACCATCCAGCCCATCAGCCGCTGAGGTGGTGCCACCTCCCAGGCCCACTAGGGTCGGGTACCAGTCAGTGATGTGCACCAGTGCCCGGCTTGTCCTTCGCTTTCGCTTGAGCAGGGGGCTGTGGACAAAGCCGAGGCCCCGCACACCACCTTCCCAGTAAGTGCCCTTGCGTCCTCTGAGCGGCCAGTTGCTGCCCCCTGAGAAAGTTTGGCCGCCATTATCGCTGGAGAAGATGATGATGCTGTTGTTGTAGAAGCCGTAGCGCTTGAGGGCCCAGGTGATGTTGCGCACAGCCTCATCCATGCAGGTCACCATGGCTGCATACTTCCGCCGGGCCACATTGCCCATGGTTCGGTAGCGGTACAGGTACTCGCGCGGGGACTGCAGGGGTGTGTGTACCGCCTGGAAGGCTATGTAGAGGAAGAGGGGCCTCCGGGGGCTGTGGCTGGCCAGGATGTGGCTGGCACGCTGGGCATACAGCATAGTAGAGTACTGGCCACTGAGCCCCCAGGCCACATTCTCGCCCTCGTGCAGGTCAAAGCCGCACACCCCCGGGCCATCACAGTTGTCATAGGTGTAGTAGTCAACATTGCCTGTGAGCGAGCCCAGGAAGGTGTCAAAGCCCCGGCGGGTGGGCAGGCACTCCTTCCGGTAGAAGCCCAGGTGCCACTTGCCCACCATGTGGGTGGAGTAACCTGCCTCCTGCAGCTTCTGGGGCAATGTTACTTGATCCAGGGGCAGGCAGTTGGGCTGCTGCGGGCGGATGATGGAGTGCTGGAGTCCTGTATGGATCTGGTACCTGGCAGGGGAAGTGGAGGGCATAGAAGACACAGGTGAGCTACAGACCACACCCCCCACTAATACCCACTTTGAGGTGGGCTCTGATCCCAGCGCTACCAGCAAAAACCACGACAGTAACCACCATGAATTATCTAATGTGCTAAGCGCTTTGCATGTATTATCTCATTGAATGCTCAAAATCAACTGAAGCAGATGTTATTATCATTCCTAGTTTGCAGAGGAGGAGACTGAAGCTCAGAATGGTTATGCCACTGATACAGGATCACACAGCTAGAAAGCTGGGGAGTTAAGAGCTAAACCCAACAACATTAATAATAATAACAACAATAATAACAACTACTACGAAGCACTCACTGTGTGCTAAACATTGTGCTGAGCCCCTTACATGAATTATCTCACTAAATACTCACCATAGCCTAGGAGGTATAGATCATTATTATTCCCAATTCTCAAATAAGAAAACCAAGGCTTGGCAAGTTATATCACTTGCCCAGGAATTTACATGCTGGTAGTTGGAGTTGGGATTTGTACTCCAGGCAGTCTGACTCCAGACCTCAGAGTCCCTAAGCTCTACGCCACTAATTTACTATGGAGTCTAGAGCAAGTCCTGCTCTCCCAGGCAAATTCCTGTTGACTTTTCAAAGCCCAGCCCAAATGTTACCCCACTGTGAAGTCTCTCTCACAATTCTCCTGAGGAATGAGTTGCTTTTGATCCTGAGTTCCTCCAGCACTTAGTACTCACCATCATTGTTCTAAAGGAGCCCTGGTGGCACAGTGGTTAAAGCACTTGGCTTCGAATCCACCAGCTGCTCGGCTGGTGGGAGAAAGATGTGGTAGTCTGCTTCTGTAAAGAGCACAGCCTTGGAAACCCTATGGGGCAGCTCTACTCTGTCCTATAAGGTTGCTATGAGTTGAAATCAACTCGATGGCAACAGGTTTTTGGTTTATCATTGTTCTAAAGGAGCCCTGGTGGCACAATGGTTAAGTGCTCAGCTGCTAACCAAAAGGGAGAAAAGACCTGGCAATTTGCTCCCATTAAAGAACACAGCCTAGGAAACCCTATGGGGCAGTTCTACTCTGTCCTATAGGGTCGCTGTGAATCGGAATCTATCCAATGGCACACAACAACAACATCATTGTTCTACTTAGCCACGGGATTATATTCTGTTGTATGGGGGTCCTGGGACCAATCATAGGTAATGGAACTATACCTTACTCAACCTTGTATTTCTAGCACCCAACTGAAGTTTAAGGGGCACTCAATTACTTATGGAATGAGTGTATGAAGAATGATGCTCAGAGGGTTTTAAAGCCAGGAGGGACCCAAGTCATCCTATCAAGAAACTGAGGTCCAGAGGAGAAAAAGGGCCTGGCCCAAGGTCACTTGGTGGTCAGGGGCAGAGCCAGGACTTGAACATAAATCCAAGTAAAGGCCAAACAGAGATGCTTTTCCAGCAAATGAAGTCACTTCTCTTCCTCCAGAGGGTGTCAGATTGCTTGTGTGTGGAAGTGAGTTGGTTAGAATGGGAGCTCTCTAAGGCCCTTCCAGTTCCTAAATTTTATGAGACTGGCTCCCATGTGCCTACCCGTGAGTTCATGTGACCCCTTGATCCAGGTCCTCCCACAGGCCAGCACTCTGAGGCAGAAGCAAATGGTTAGCAGAATCCTGCTTTCCTCATTTACTCATTCATATCCCACTTACCCTCCTGTGGTCAAGGCCCCCAAGTGATCTGCCCATGCTGTCCTGCCTTTACTCAAGTCTTAAAAGTCCCAGAGTAAATAAGAAAACTGGAACTTCACAAGTATGCTAGAATTCCACACCTTTCTTCTCACCCCCAGGCATCCAAGTTAAGCCAAGACCTCAAAGCCTGACACCTTTAACAGCGGCACTGAGATGGGTTTCTCTGTTTTGGTTTTCTTATTCTAGAGCTATTACTGTTGTTAGTTACTATTAGCTACTACCGCCATTTTTAACACTATGTGCCACATATTTATTTTCTCATTTAATCCTCGTAAAAGGCCTACAGGGAAGAATATTATTATCCCCATTCTACAACTGGAGTCGGAATCGACTCAACTGCAACTGGTTTTCTAGATAATGAAACTGAGGTTCCCAAAACGGCAGCAAGTGGTCTAAAGTTAGACAGTTGGTGAGCAGTGGTGCTGAGATTTGAACCCAGGTCTACGCAACTCATGCTCAAAATCTCTTCGTGATACGGCCTCTCCAGGCCTCAGTCAAGCTAATAAACGAGTGGACTTGACATAAGAAGCACCCAAGAACCCTGAGTTCTAGCCGGCCTCACTTCTTAGGAGTGGGGCCATGGAACACTGATTTGTGTAGTAAGGCATGCCAGCTAAGAGTCACCAAAGCTCATCTGCAAGTGAGTAAAGCAAGAAACTTTGGCTCACTCCAGGTTCCCGCAACACCACTGGATGTGTTAACAACCCCTAAAAAGAGCAATAAGCATCAGTTAGATGGAGCCAGCTGCAGGGGGCTGAGGGCAGAATGGTTGCCAGCCGGGCGCTTACCTAACTTTGCAGATCAGAGGGCTGGAGCGCTGGCCCGCTGGCTGCTCTGCTCATTCTGTGGCTTAAACCAAAAATCAACCCTTGGGAGAGAAATACTAATGTGTGTGCCTCTCTCGGGAATGCAGATTCCTCCTCCCTCTTCTGGATTCATCCTTGAGGCTTGGTCTTCACACAGACACTCCCTCCCTCTCTTCCTCTTCCTGCTCGCTTGCTAGATCTTTCTGGATCTAAACGCTGCGTGCCAGATCCAAGGAAGAAAAGGCACCATGGACTTCCAGCTCCAGGACTCTTGTCAAGCACCTGGCCTCTCAGCTTCCTCTCCCGGAGATCCTGATGTTGGGCACAGGCAGAGTTGGGCCCTCCCTGACTCCCTGCTTCAGTTTCTCTCATCCAGGAACAGGGATAATAAGGCTCTGGTTTCTAAGATCACTGTAGTGGCTATTGGGTAGAAGAGGTTGGGAGAAAGCAAGCCTTGGACTCCGCCCAAGAAGGATTAGTTTCAGCCTTGCCAAAGGGTTTTCTCCTAAGTGGCCAGAGTTTGCCTCGCACACCCCCATCTCCTGTTTCCCTGTTCCTTTAATCCTGTAATACTGCTGCCTCGCCAGTGGACAATTCCGGATGAAGGAAGCAGCACGTCTCCTTAGGGCTCCTAGCCAATTTGGGAGGATTTCACAGATGAAAAAGTAGAGGCTCAGAGAAGTGAAGTAATCAGCCCAGGGCTACATAGACCATGGTACCTTGTGTGTGTCTTTCTCTTCTACCTGACAATTCCTTCCAATGTCGTCACTGAACAGTTTGGGGATCCTAATCCTCTCCATGATATTAAAAAAAAAAACAAAAACCTGTTGCCATGGAGTTTATTCTGACTCACAGCGACCCAGTAATATAGAGGCTGTCGTTTATTGACAGCCAACCAGAATACACACATCTCAGTCTATCCTCACCACTCTCCCAAAACTGTTCTTCACCCTATTTTACAGACAAGAAAACTGAGGCTTAGAGAAATTAATTGAATTACTCAGGCGCTCAAGGTGTGTAAATAGAAGCAGCAGCATTCAAAATCAAGCACAGAACTTCAGGGGCTGCCATGTTCCTCTAAAAAAGAGATGACCAGATGTCTCCTGCACGTTGTGTGGAGTGTGAGTGTCCTAGAATATCAGAGCTGGAAGACCTCAAAGATGATCCAACCCATTCAGTGTACAGTTAGGGAAACCGAGGCCCAGATAGGGAGCGCAAGGGACTGACTAATGATCACCCAGTCCGGTGGAGGCAGAATTGGCCCTAAGCCTTGGTTTCCCAGGTCCCAGCACCGGGATTGTAGGTGCAGGAGAAATCTACGGACTGGGCTTCGGCGCCCAGCGCCAGCGGCCTCGACCATCCATCCCTACCTGCCGGTGAGGAGTTGGCTCCGCGAAGGCGTGCAGATGGGCTGGATATAATAATTCTCTAGCTTGACGCCCTCGGCCGCCAGCCGGTCCAGCGTAGGGGTCTCGATATCTGAGCCATGGTAGCCCACGTCGTGATAGCCCTGGTCGTCGGTGAGGATGAAGATGATGTGGGGAGGCTGGGGCGGAGCAGCCGAGGGTTGTTCGCCGGCATCCCCGAGTCCGTTGGCCACCAGGCTTGGCTTGGTCAAGTCCCAGGACAAGTAGCCAAAGCTTAGCAGGCTGGCCAGCGAGAAGCCGGTAAGTGCGTGCATCGCCAAGCTGGTCCGCGCGTCACGGCGGGCAGGGCTCCTCGGGCCTCACGGCCTCGCGCGCCCAGGGCGCACGTCCTGCCCGCCCGCCAGCCGGCAGGCCTGGACCCTGCGAGAGCGCTCAGCACTCCCGGGTGCGGTTCAGTGGCTGGTCCTGGACTGGCGGCCTGACGGCGGGGCCGGACCTGCGCGGCCGCTGCGGGGCGCTCTGGGGAGGTCAGGCCCGCGCCGAGCTGCGCCCGTCTGGTTCCTTTTCCCCCACCTCAGCCGGGCCAGCCTGAGACACAGCTTGGCGGCTTCCAGAAAGTGCTCTCCACCATCCTCTGACTCGCCTCTTCCTTCTAAACCCTCGATTTCTCCCGCCTCCTAATTTCTCTCGCTTCGGCTTTCCCTTTCTCCTCCCCCCGACCCTCCAGACCCCCGGCCCGGCCTCTCGCCCCGCCCGGAGTCCTCAGAACAGAGAGGACTCCCCGCAGGGAGGCGGGCAGGACCCCAGCGGAGAAGGGGAGGGAGGCATGAGTTGGGCGGGTCTGGGGTGGGATGGTGGGACGACACCGCGGGAGAGAATGCGAAAAAGCTGTAACATCTGCCGAGCTGAGCCCAGGTGGAGTGGCGGGATGCCGAGCCCCGGCTCCGCCCCCGGGCGGGAAGCCCAGGCCCTCTAGGCCCGCTGGCTCCAGTCGCCCCGCCCTGGCCGAGACTGGGGAAGGAGGGAGGGGCGCTGCTTGGAATTGGATGAACTGCCCCAGTATGGTCGGGTCAGAGATTCCTGGATAATGCAGTCTTAGCCTTGCCAAGTGTTAACCCGCCCAGCAGCTCAGCGGGAGAAAGACCTGGTGATCTGCTCCCATAAAGATTGCAGCCCAGAAAACCCTACAGGGCAGTTCTACCCTTGCACATGGGGTCGCTATGAGTCAAAATCGACTCTATAGCACACAACATTCCTTGGAACGGACCTGCACAATTTTCAACAGGGTCATTCTACAGGTAGAGAAACGGAGGCCCTGAGATGGGTAGGAACTCCAAGTCACAGAGAAAATTAGTGGCTTCTCCCCTTGGGCTCACAGTGGCTGTTTGGGTGGTGGCTCCCCTCTGTGGGCCAGGAAAGGCAATAGGGAGAATGGGGAAGACTTCTTAAAGCACCAAACCAAAAAACCAAACACGTTGCCGCCAAGTCATTTCTGACTCATAGCGACCCTATGATGTCAAGCACCAGGGCCTGGAAATCCAGAAGCTGGGACTTGCCAGCTCCCCGCTTTTCAAACCCTGCCCCCACCTCATTCAATAATTCACGACTTAAAAAAACCCATTGCCGTGGAGTCTATTCTGACTCATGTATCAGGGCTGGAATCCAGAGGGCAGGGGCTGTTTTATACATCTTATATCCACAGAGTCCAGCACACAGTAAAAGCTAAATCAATATCTGTTGCATGAATGAATGGATGAATGGGCCTTGGGGGTCATCCTGCCCAATTCCCACCCAAGGAAACCTCCAGGACAGAGAAAGCAGGCTTGGCCACCTCGGACCAGGCAAGTATCATAAACGAGAAAAGGGTTGGAGGGCAGCTGAATTGCCATAGGGAGGCTCGGAGCTGCAGTGAGCTAAAGACCACAAGCCTTGTTCCCAGTTGACCGTTGCCATGCAGAATGTGGACCAATGTTACCAGAGCTTCTGATTTTTTCCAAGAAGAATCCCAATCCAGATTATTATGAGAAATGGTCCAGTTTTTGAGTGTTAGTAACTAATTTAAAACAAAATTTAAATACTGTGCTGGCCAAATCAAACCTATCTGAGGAAGATATGAAGCTATTGGGTGCCAAGTTTGCAACCTCTGCTCTGCGTCACTGTTTTCCAAAATGTTGCTAGGCTGCACTTTTAAATGGAGGGCAGTGGTGGTTCACTGGCAGAATTTTCACCTTCCATGTGGGAGACCCAGGTTGATTCCTGGCCAAGGCACCTCATGCGCAGCCACCATCCACCTGTCAGTGGAGGCTTTTGCATTGCTATGATGCTGAACAGGTTTTAGCATAACTTCCAGAATAAGACAGACTAGGAAGAAAGGCCTGGTGATCTACTTCCAAAAATCAGCCAATTAAAACCATGGGGAGCACATTGGTCCGATCTGCCAATCATGGAGATGGCGCAGGACCAGGTAGTGTTTCCTTCTGTTGTACATGAGGTTGCCATGAGTCAAAGACCTACTAGGTGACAGCTAACAATGACAACAGACACTTTTCAATGGGAAAACTGTGTTAAATAAAACCAGTTAGGTTTCCTTGCTACTAGGATTTCTTCAAATGTTTAACATGCACACTGTTGACCATCAGGAGGGAGGTTGGTAAAGCTGAACTTCCCAGTTTTGGGTGGCCAAGGACTCTGTTTTTCACAGAGCTGCTTGAAGAGTCAGTGTTGGGGGAACTTTGGGCAACGTTTCTACCCATCATGCTGCCCAGGTGTGTCTTCTCTCCTAGCATCACCCCCTGCCAGTATTCTGTAGTAATCTCTTTGCTTTGACTTTAAGCCACTGTGTGTGGGGAAAGAAACCAGGTCTCCAAAATAGCAGCCCTCATGAAACTGCAGTTCGAAATGAGGGCTGTGTGGGGCCAGCCGCTCCTGTTTGCTCAAAGCCCCATATTTAGGATGACTAGATTTATCAGAAGGGAAAATTGAGCCTGTTGTTCTGGCAGAAGAAATGTGGAGGACAGGCAGGAAAAATACAGCCTCCTGAGGGGAATGCTGCTAAACTGGTGTTTCTGGAGGCTTCAACCGGAGGCTGTCCTGAGGTCAAAGAGGGGCAGGTCACATGGATGTGGGTTTTGCATTCTCTGCATTGAAATGTTGGTCCAGAGGAACTGGACAGGACTGCCATGCATACAGGTGGGAATCGAGAGGCTGTGTCACGGGAAATAGCAAGGGGACCGGTGAGGATTCAGCCAGGATGAGAAAAGGCTGGGGGACGGAGAACCACAGGCTACAGATCTCTGTGGGGTTATCATAGGAAAAAGACAGACAGTGTTTCTGAGTGTTCAAGCTGTGGGCTCTGGCAACAGACTGCTTGAGTTCAAATCCTGCCACTTATTTGGGATCTGGCCTTGGGCCAGTTATTTCATCTCTCTCAGCCTCAGTTTCCTCATCTGTAAAATGGGATAATAATATAAATGAGATGCAGTACAGTGCACAGCACATAGTAAGCACTCAGTAAATGTGAACTGTTATTATGATTGTTCTTTATGGAAGAGGAAGGACTAAGACCTGTGGGTGCAAGTTACTGGGAGACAGATTTCAGGGATTACTTTTGTAGGAAATCTGGCAGCTTGCTTAATGAAAGGATGGCAATGATGGGTGAATCACCATGTGGAGAAGACTGGGTAGACCTCTTGGGCCCAACTCTTGTTCCCCAATATTCACATTTTTTTAAGAGTCTCTTGTTAACCACCAAAATCATGCCCACGGTGGTCTCAGAGGGCACCATTCCTCCTCTGACCTCCTCAGGAAATAAACATTGACTCTCAACTCTTCCTATAGTGTGCTTGCACAGCTGGGCAGGCTGGAACATTCAAACCAGACATTTCCAAAGGCCCAGGGAAGACAACGGGAAACCAACACGAAGAGTAACAGGAATCCAGGTCATATCGCTTTCAAGATGTGGCTCACTTATCTTCCCTTTGAGTTCTCTACAGGATGTTTACCTGCCTTCTTCTCTGTGACAATTTCCACTGGCCCTCCTACGACCCAGGTGGGCTCCCAAGAACTCCTAGATGTCTCAAGTTCAGACCCAAGAAGTAAGGCTTGGAGAAGCACAAGTTCCTTCTCCAGACAGGCTAAGCTAGCCTTTGAAGTTTCTATCTCAGGATCTTACATTACCAGGTAGCATTAGCATTTGCAGAAGGTTCATGGGTGATGAGGGGGCGGCCTTGCTGTGATCCTGGCGGCCAGTCTCAGCAGCCCAGCAAGAGCATTTTCCCCAGTGGCAGGCCCCGTCTTACCCACCTCCTGCCTCCTCTTCCTAGCCCACAGGTGCCAGCGTTATGGCCCTACACTTCAAAACGATTGGCATCAGGAATGAGAAATCTATCCCCCATCCACATAGGTGTGTTCTTGCTCCATAGCCCCCAAAGTACAACCACTTTAAAACACAACAAGAAACCTCACATCTGCGCATGAAATACAGATCAGATATGGCAGCGGTGTAGTTTTGTTACTTCATAACAGTCACAGATTTTTGCTGATGGAATCAGACTTCAAAAAGTACTGAGCTCCCTGTTACTGGAACTATGCAAGAAGGAGATAAAGTGTCCATCTGTCCAGGAGGTATTAGGAGAGAAAACTAAAGGATTTTAAGATTATTTCAAATTCAGAAATGTTGATTGGAAGTATTTATCCCCAGAATGCTTCTTAGGACATGGAAATGTGAAAGTGAAGAACTGGGTGAGTCTGTTTTGTGACTTTGTCTTTCATTGCTATGTGTGCGTGTGAGTAGGTAGGCGTGTATGTATTTTTGGTCAACTTTGAATTAAAATTACCTCAGTACAGACATTATTTCTGACTTATTGCCCTTGGCAAAGATCTTTGCACAGACTGTATATACTACGGGGGCAGTGGTGGTTCAGTGACAGAATTCTCACCTTCCGTGCAGGAGATCCAGCTTCGATTCCCAGCCAATGTACCTTAAGCACAGCCCCCACCCCATCTGTCAGTAGAAGCTTGCATGTTGCTATGATGCTGGACAGGTTTCAGTGAAGCTTCCAGACTAAGATGGACTAGGAAGAAAGGCCTGGCAATCTACTTCGGAGAATTAGCCAATGAAAACCCTATGAAGCACAAAGTCACAACAGGGATGGTGCAGAACCGGGCAGCATTTCATTCCATTGTGCGTGGGGTCGCCGTGAGGTCAATTTGTCTAGGCTGGACCAAATCAAGGACCTAAAAGAAAACAAGTAAGGCTTCTGAACAGTCAAAAACTGTCACAAAGTTCAAGCCCTTAGCTCAGAGGAAAGCTCCTCAGGCTTTCCTCACTCACAGCCTGCTGACTCTTATTCTGTACACAATTCTTACGATG